CTGCATAAATAATTTGTGTATGTTACATATATAATATGATCTTTGGTCCATTTACTGGAGTTGATCATCATAAAAAATGTTTACTTTTGCGGCTTCTTTTGTAGCTCATGAGGATATATCATCTTTTGAATGGGTTTTCAAAAACTTTTCTTAAATCAATGGGAAATAACGAGCCTGTGTGTTTGATTACCGATCAAGACCCTGCAATGAAAGTTGTTGTTCGTAATGTTTTTCAAACTACAGAACATAGGTTTTGTATGTGGCATATTATGAAAAAGGTGCCTGAAAAAGTAGGTCGGGCGATTGCCCAAGACACTGATTTCTTGAAAAAACTGTGTTCATGTGTTTGGCATTTAGAGATTGAGCCGGCAGAATTTGAAGAAAAGTGGAACAAAGTTATTTCAGAATTCCATTTGAACGATCATGAATGGTTGGCATACATGTACAACATACGTGATATGTGGATTCCAGCGTATTTCAGAGATTTATTTTTGGGTGGCATTATGAGGACCACATCTAGATCAGAAAGTGAAAATAATTTTTTCACTATGTTCACAAATCCCCATCTCACTTTGATTGAGTTCTACATGAGGTAATAAGTAATTGTCTATATATGTTCTAAAGTTACTCTTTATGTTCTAAAGTTTTCCTTGTATGCTCTAAAGTTTTCTTTTTATGCTTTATAGTTTTACTATTTATTTTATAATTCTCTTTTATGTTTTCTTTTTCTCTTTATGTTTTAATAATATTTAGATCATAATAAACATGTCATGTATATTTATATGTTCTAATGTAATTCACTCTATGTTCTACAATTATCTTCTATGTTTTAAAGTTAATTTCTATTTTCTATAGGTTTGAATGTGCATTGGATGCTCAAAGGCACACTCAAAATAAAATGGATAATGATTCGAAGAATAAGCGTCCGGAGTGTAAGACTCCAATTCCTTTAGAGAAAGATGCTTCTGAATTGTTTACAACAACAATTTTCTATGAATTTCAATATGAGCTTGAAATTGGATGTTTTAATTGTGGTGTTGAGGAGATGAAGAAGGACAATGAGCTTTACATTTTCAATTTGAGGGAAGGAACCAGAAGGAGGACTTTTGATGTTGTTTTTTGATCCAACTACCTTTGATACCAAGTGTGTTTTGTAAAAAATTTGAACGTGATGGTGTGCCTTGTAGGCATATGATTTGGGTGTGGAAGGCAAGGATGTTAGAAAAAATTCCCAAGGCCTACGTTCTAAATAGATGGTGTACAATGGCTTATAAGAAGCCCATTTTTTATTTAGAGGGTAATGTGTTGGAGGAATGTATTAATGCAGTAGATAAGAAAATGTTATTAAATGATTTGTAGTCTGAAATTCATGCTTGTGTGAGTTTAGTGCAAAACAATGAAGATGATCTTAGTGATCTTGTCAAAAAAACTTCGAGCCATGAGGGTAGATTTGGAACAGAAGAAAACAAATGGAAGCAACAATCTTTCGAGCAAAGTTAAAGACATTGAAATGCTTATTGAAGCTAGTCTACCTTCCAATGTTTTAATCAAACCTCCTAAAATTTCGAAGAACAAAGGCACGGGGGTTCATGTTCCAAATCAGGTCAATGTTCCAAATGATGTCCATGTTCCAAATCAGGTTCATGTTCCAAATCAGGTAAATGTTTCAAATGATGTCCATGTTCCAAATGATGTCCATGTTCCAAATGAGGTTCATGTTCCAAATAGTGACAAAAGAATGAAGAGTGACAGAGAAAAGTCTATTGAACAAAGTCAAAAGAAGAAGAGATTATGTAGAGCATGTGGGGAGCTTGGTTATCATGATAGTCGTAATTGCCCTGGAAAAGTCAAGTGATATTGTAAGTAAACTTTATTTTTAATTTTCTTATGTTCTAATTTTCTAAACTTTAAGTTTCAAGTCAAAATTAATATATAAATTTATACTTTGTGTTCTAAATTAATATTCTTATTTTCCAAACATAACCTCTAGTGTTTTAAACTAATATATATGTCATGTAATATTATTTTTTTTATGTTCTAATGTAATCCATTTAATGGTCTAAAGTTACTTTCTAAGTTCTAGAGTTACTTTCTTTCTATGTTTTAAAGTTTATTATTTATGTTTTAAAGTAATTCAATATGCTCTAAAGTAACTATGTCTAAGCAAGTTTAGAACATAAAGTTATTCATATATGTTCTAAAGTAATTCAATATATTCTAAAGTTACTTTTCTATAATGTTTATTCTTTCTGTTTTAATGTAATTCAATATGCTCTAATGTTAAGAACATAAAGTTATTTATTTTGTTCTAAAGTAATTATGTTCTAAGCAAGTTTAGAACATAAAGTTATTCATATATGTTCTAAAGTAATTCAATATGTTCTAAAGTGTTTTCTCTATGTTCTAAAGTTACTTTTCTATGTTCTAAAGTGTTTTCTCTATGTTCTAATGTTTATTCTTTCTGTTTTAGTGTAATTCAATATGCTCTAATGTTTAGAATATAAAGTTATTCATTTTGTTCTAAAGTTTTCCTTTATATTTTAACTTTTCTCTTTATGTTCAAAATATTTTCTTTATATGTTCTAAAGTTTTATTTATATGTTTTAAAGGTTTCTTTAAATGTTCTAAAGTTTTTACTCTATATAATATCATGTGTTCTAACTAATAGAAATGGCATGTTAACATTTTTTAATGCTAAATTATGTGCTTATGTTCTAATATTGTTTTATTTTTTTTCTTTACAGGTTGATGAATATACTATTAATCCAGTTGCATGAGATGTTATATATTTAGAAACAATATCTCATTTACTAGCACGTAAAATATTATTCATGTAATTCTTAAAATATAAGAACTCAATTTATTTACTTTTAGAAACAATATATTTTTATTTCTTTTTTGTCCAATTATTATTCAGAGTATCTCTACTAGTGTTTTTCTTATCAATTTTTATGTTAATTAAAGTTGATTATAATGTTTTATAACATCTCCTGTCTTTTCATCTTCCCCCCTTTTCGTAATTATAAGTTGTTTTATTAAGTCAATTTGAACTACGAGTAATGATAGTACAAGCATTTTAGATACCTTTATTAAACAACATTTAGTTGAATCTTGCTTTAATCAACTTTTATTTATTCAAGTTTCTTAACATTGATTTACATATGCCTTCTTAGATATGCACTAAAGAGTGTATGCATTGTATTCAAAAAGAAAAATAAAGCAAAAGTAATGGATTAGAAGCAGCCAGTTTAGAACATAAGCAAATACTTTAGAACATAGATAAAAATAATTAGAAGATTAGCAAAATCAATAATTTGGACATGTAATAAGAAAAAAAGTACAACATAATAAGATATAATTAGAATCAAGTTACCAATTGAATGCTTTGGAATCTTGTTACTTTGGCTGTTGTCATTTCTTGTTACTTTTTTTTTTAATTTTCTTATGTTCTAATGTTCTACACTTTAAGTTTTAAGTCAAAATTAATATATAATAATATATTCTAATATCCTAACTTTATAAGCATATAATTATTAAAACATAATCAAAAATACTTTAGAACATACCCATATAATTTAGAACATGAATATAATTTAGCATATAAGTTTATATGATATATTTTATATTAAAATTTTAGCATTTAATATGATTCAACAATATATTTCTTGTAACAGGTAAATACATAGAACATAAGAAATTACTGTTATATTCTTTGCAAATATCACTCTACAAATATAAACTTAAATCTTAACAATCATATATCCATTTTGTTCTCCTTTGACCACTTTTTTGATCTCCTAATCACTTTGTTCCGTTCTTCATTTACTTCTGCTGTTATTATCTTCCCACAATACTCCACTCTTAAATTTTTCATTTGGTCAAACTGCAAAAAAAAAAAAAAAAAAAAGAGTAACTTTTAGAACATAAACAGAAATACTTTAGAACATAAGCATATAATTTAGAACATGAATATAATTTAGCATATAAGTATAAATAAATATAATAAACCATAATATATCTAAACAATAACCAAACCAAACCACAACACTAAAACCATAACACCAAAACCATAAACAAAACTAATTTAAAACATGTATCTTATGTTTTAAACTTACATTGTCTAATTCTAGTCCCGAATTCCATTGTTTTACAGATTCTCCTTCATATGTTTCCATGTGCTTCAACAGGAACACTCCACAATCATGTTTGTTCTTATTGCTCTTCCATGACATACTCAAGTTTCTTGTTTTGAAGGAGGATACAAAGTCACTCTTTATATTTGAGTCAATTGAGTGAACGAAATCACCAAATGCATTCAACTGAAAAATTGGATAAACTTTAGAACATATAAGGTAAACTTTAGAACATAAAGAAAAACTGTAGAACATAAAGGTAAAACTGTAGAACATATAAGGCAAAAGTTAGAACAAAAGTATAATTAAAAAAATGTAAACTTTGATGTCTTACCATTAATCTATGGTAATTTCCATATTTATTTTGAAAAGGAATATTTGGTGGAAGAAATCTGTTGTCAATCAAATCAAATGTTCCTTCCACAAAGTTGACACACAACAAATAGTAGTGATCTGGTAAAACGACCGGGAAGAAAACCTAATAGATAAACAGAATTAGAACATAGATAAGCAAAATTAGAACATAAGCATGCATTTTAGAACATAAGCATATAGTTTAGAACACAAGCATATAATTTTTATAACATGTATTTTAGAAAATAATCTTGTAGCTAAGAACATGTAGTTTAGAACATAAGTAAGTAGTTTAGAAGATAAATAAGTAGTTTAGAACATAAGTAGATCTCCTTTTTTTCCTCCTCTTTCTTCTTCCCCTTTTCTTCTTTCTTCTCCTCTTGCTTCTCTTCTTTTTCCTCTTCTTTCTTCTTCTCCTTTTCTTCTTCTTCTTCTCTCCTCTTCTTCTCCTCTTTTTCCTCTTCTTCTTCTCTTCTTTTCCTCTTCTTGCTTCTCCTCTTCATCCAATGTAGGTGGATGATCTGGATTTAGAAAAGCACAATTTAGAAACATTTGCTGTCACTTCTTCGTAAATGAGTTCTGCTTCATTATCTTCTTGATTTTCTGGGACATCAAACCATAAGTAGAAACAATGAGGACACAACATAGAAATAGTTGGAAAAAATTTAGAACATTAGAAATAACTAGAATTAACCAGAAAAATTTAGAACACAAGAAGTAACTTTAGAAACATAACTAATTTACAACATAATTATATTATTTAGAACATATGCACATAATTTAGAACATAATCATACAATTAGAACATTATGCACATAATTTAGAGCATAACTAATTTCGAACATAATCATATTATTTAGAAAATATGCACAATAATTTAGAGCATAAACTAATTTAGAACATAATCATATTATTTAGAACATATGCACATAATTTAGAACATAATCATATAATTTTAGAGCATATGCACATAATTTAGCACATAATCATATAATTTAGAGCATATGCACATAATTTTAGAACATAAGAAAGTAGTTTTAAAACATAAGCATCTGATTTAGAAAAAATTTAGAACATCATAAATAACTTTAGAACATAACAAAAAAAAATTATAACATAAGAAGTAATTTTAGAACAAAATCTAGTAATATTAGTTCAAAAGAAAAGAGTTTGAAAATAATGTAAAACTAACCAACTGCTGAGTGAGGGGGTCAATAAGTTGAAACTTGGAGGAGTTATATCAAAAGGTTGCTTCTTTTTTGGAGGAATTGGGGTTTTTGGTGACTCCTCATTCCTTTTCTCTTTCTTCTCAATTTTTTCCTCCTCGTTTCTCTCTTTTCTGTCCTGCTCTTTTTCTTCTTCTTTTGATCCCAAATCTTCATAGCAATTACACCATAAAAATTAAGTATTATAGCAAATAGCAAAAAAAATAATTAGAAAATTAAAAAGTAACTTTTAGAACATAAGAAATATATACAATTAGGAGACAACCTAGAAATAGTTAGAAATATAAAAAATTAAGAATTAACTTTAAAGCATAACCAGAAAAAATTTAGAGCATAAAAAGTAATATTAGAACATATCTAGTAAATATTAGTACATAAAAAATGAATTTGAAAATAATGTGAAATTTACCAACTACTGGTGAGGGAATCAACAAGTTTTTGTCTTTATTCTCTTCATTTCTTCTCTTCTTTGTTCTTATCTTTTTCCTCTTCCTTTGATCTCAAATCTGCTTAACAATTATTTTAGAACATAATCATAATAATTTTAGAACATAAGCATATGATTTAAGCGCATGTTTTTAGAACATAAAAAAGTACTTTAAAACATAAACATCTGATTTAGAACATAAGTATAATTTGGAAATTAAGCATGTACATGTGAAATTACCAACTGTCGGTGACTTTGGTGACCTTGTTTCCTCGAATTTCTTCCATGCCTTATCCATAACCATATCCAATTCTTCAATAAATGCCGATTCATCGAAGACCATGTATGATCTTGGCTGAGTATAGAAGGGCTTTTTCTTTTCTTCTTGGTTCACGAATGTCTATAAAATAAGAAATTATAATTTAGAACATAATATGCACAATATTTATATAAATTTATTATACTTTAGAACATAAGCTGAAAATACTTTAGAACACAACCAGAAAATACTTTTAGAACATAATTATAATAACTTTGTTGTGTACTTGCACCATATGTTTGTCTATGAGATGTTGCATTTTTCTTGTTGTTTTCTTCCTCAAACAAAAAGATCTTTTGCTTGTTCTAACATGCCATAACATCTCTTTAACATTCGATGGCAAGTGTTTTTGCCAAAATCTCCAAATTTGCTCAAAAAGCCCTTCATTAGAACACAAAAATATTTTAGAACATAAAGGACATAACATGGATAATTTAACAGAAAAGGATTAAATGGAGCATAAAATATAATTTAGAACATAAACTAAATCATACCATCATGTCATTTCGAGAAGTTGTAGAACTAGAACCTATTGATGATTTTTCCATTCTCTTCTCTTTTTCCTTTTGTTTTGGTTGTTTCTTTTTTCCTTTTGGTGCCTTCTAGTATATAAATTATAAAATTTAGAAAACAACAACATAAATTTTAAAGATTAGAATATAAGGTTAGAATAAAGTGTTTTCAATTTTTACAAAATAAGCATATGTAGTAATAATTTAAAAGGTATAATTACCATTGATGACTCTTCCTTTCTCTTTTCCTTGTCCTCTTGTCTTGATTGTTTCTTGTTTTTTCCTACACATTATAATATATGAATTACAAAATTTAGAATATAAAGGATAAACTTTAGAGCATAAAGAGAGAACTTTAGAACATAGGCAAAAGTAAGTTGAGTGATTAGAACATAAAGGATAAACTTTACAACATAAAGGGTAAACTTTAGAACATAAAGTGTAAACTTTAGAACATAGGCAAAAGTAAGTTGAATATAAAGTTTAGAATATTTAGGGGTAAATGTTAAAATAGTTTATCACATAAAGTATATAGTTTAGAATATTTAGGGGTAAATATTAAAACAGTTATCACATAAAATATATAGTTTAGAGCATAAAGGGTAAACTTTAGAACGTAAGCAAATATAGATAGAATATAAAGTGTAGTGTTAAACATAAGCATATACAAATATCATACCACAATTGATTCCATTCTTTCCAAGAGTTTTCCATATCCAAATCCATGATCTTTTTCAAACTTATATCTCACTTGAATCCTTTCCTTTGTCCACACCGAAATTAGTGGACATTTTCTTGGTTTTTCTAACCATCCTCTTTGTAGACGATCAAAATAGAATACCTATTTAGTACATGTTAAGAATTAATTAGAATATTTTTCACACATTTTCAACATAACAAGAATAATATATATACATAATGGTAAGAATTTAAAACTTACCATTAGAAAAGGTAAAGGACCTGTAAAGTAAGAATTTCCCTTCTTCCATACACTTACAGAATCTTTCAAGTGCTCAATCACAAATGTGCACCAATCCAATTCAGCAATTTTCTTTACATCCATACAACTATACAAGAATTTAATGTATAGTTGTGGGTTGTTTGTTGATCGAATGCAACAATTGACAACACATACCACAAAGTTCCAAAGAAATTCATCATAAACTGATTTTTCCTTCTTCAATTCTTGAATTCTGTCAATCAATCTCTTGTTGGTTGGACTTCCCTTTTAGAGGTAAAAAAAAACATATAAATTAAAACCTATGGAGATAATAGATCTATTTTAAAGCAGAAAACACTTTAGAACATAAGCAAAGCACTTTAGAACATACAATTTATAACATAACCATCTTATACCAATATAATATCATAAAAATAGCTAAATATAATTTTGAACATTACAAGTCAAATAACTACATAAATTATCTACGTTTTAAAACATAAAATTCATACTTTAGAACATAAAATTTAAAACATAACCACATTATATCATCATACTTTTTTGAGGCCAAACTTGCTTCTCCAAGCTTTTAGAAACTTGCTCCATTTCAGATTTGACTCATCATTTGGTTGCTCAATCCTTTTGCCTCCCAATGGCAACCCATAAGCCAAATGAACATCAATTGCCTCCAAAAAGATTTCTTGTTTTCTCTTTGGTAACATCAAACAACATCTCTCCGTGTCAAAATTCGTAACCAAGTTTTCTGTCAACCTAGAATTATAATGAAAAATGTAAGATTTAAAGCACAATACAGCTATATTTAGATATAATAGTCAATCTTTAGAACATAGAAGATTAAAACATTTAGTATAATATTTAAACTTTTGAAACATAATTTAGAACATTATATAATAAAAAAAGTCTATTTTAGAACATAATAAACATACATTAGAACATAACAAAAAATTAATTTAGAACATTAGTGTATAGCAATTCAAACATGAGAGATCATAATTTTAGAATACAAGAAGTAACTTTAAAACATAAGTAATTTACAACATAATCATATTATTTAGAACATATGCACATAATTTAGAACATAATCATACAATTTAGAACATATGCACATAATTTTAGAACATAGCTAATTTCGAACATAATCATATTATTTAGAACATATGCACAAAATTTAGAGCATAACTAATTTAGAACATAATCTTATAATTTAGAACATTAGTGTATAGCAATTCAAACATGACAAATCATAATTTTGAACATAACATTGATAATACTTATGATTTTAGAATATGATTTTAGAACATAACATTCTACTACTTACATAGAATTAATATGGATTGGTAAATCCAATTCCAAAAAGCCTCCAAACCAATGTTCCGAATAGCTTGCTTTTGTTTTTCCGAAAGATTTATCAACACATCCTTCATGAATTGAGTAGGAGATACTCTTTGATAAGGTTGCCTCTTAACTAGTTTATCTTGCTCATTAGCTTCTACTACTTGGACATCCTCACCATCTTATTCTTTTTTCAATCTTTCTTTTCTTCTTCTTCTTCACATCCTCACCATGAATAGATAAACATAATTAGAACATAGATAATCAAAATTAGAACATAAGCGCGCACTTTAGAACATAAAAATAAAGATTGTAAAGATTAAAGAGTATTATTACCTGAGTTTGATTTTTTTTTATTGATTTTTTGTTCCTCCTCACTATCATCTTCCATCTCCTCTTTTTCATCTTTCTCTTTCATCTTTACATCACCCTTATTATCATCCTCGCCATCATCTTCACTATCATTATTCTCGTCATCATCCTTAACATTATTACCCTCTTCTTCTTTTTGATCTTTTCCTTCTTCTTGATCTTTTTCTCTTCCTTCCTTTTTTTTGCAATTTTCGAGGTGGTTGAAGCCTTGTTGGAAGTTTTCTATGTCTTATAGCAACACTTTTACTTTCAATATACTTCTCAAATTCCGATCTATCAATTACTTCCGCTTCAACGTTTTCAACTTTCCTTTAAAAACAATCAAAAATAATTAGAATACAACTAATATTAAATAGAGTGAAAATATAAAGAGATAAGATGAACATAAAACTATAATGGATACATATTAGAACATAATACAAATCTTTAGAACATAAGAGAAAATTTTAGAACATAATGGAAACTTTAGAACATAATGGAAAACTTTAGAACATAAATACAAATCTTTAGAACTTAAGGGAAAACTTTAAGAACATATTGGGAAAACTTTAGAAACAAAATTTAAAACATAATAGGTAAAGTTTAGAACATTAGTTTAGTTACCTTTTTCTTACATAAGTAATTTCTTCTTCTTGTATATTAGTAACTCCTCCTTCTGATTTTTCTTCATTTTGGCCTTGCATTTTACTGCAACATTAAGAAATCAAAAACATTAGTAACATTCCAACATTATTATTATATTTTTTGAACATAGGAATAATTTTAGAATATGCTGAAAAATAGTTTAGAACATGCTTAAAAAGAGTTTAGAACATGCTGGAGAGTGAAAAACCCAAAATAGAATGAGTTAAACTAGAAATTTAAAAGACAAATGAAACAGAAACATGATAAGGTTTGATTGAGTTTATTTTCAGCCCATGTTCTAAATTATTTCAACCTATGTTCTAATTTTTTTCCTATGTTCCAAATTTTTTTCTACCTATGTTCTAAAGTTTATTTTCAGCCCTGCAATCACAAGTTCACTACCAACAACCCCTAACCAATTAGTTGCTGCTGCATAAATCAACCACCACACCACAACCCCTACAAACAGGGGCAATCGCACCAACATCACCAATTTCGAAATCAAAATTCGAAAAAATCACTAATTTTTCCAATTTTCCTTAGCTTGGTTTGTAAGTGGATGAAAATAACTTTCCAGGTTGGAATAGTTTTTCTAAGGGGGGGAAAAGCATTCCTGTTCTAATAAGGAGAGCTACATGTGCTTCCCCAACTTAACTTCCTCCCCCCTTCCATTTCTAACCTTCATCTCCCCTTCTTCCTTTCCTCTCCAAATTTTCAAGCAAAGAACCAACATAGGAAAATTAATCTCCATTGCAATAATATTCCATGGATTAAAGTTAGTTTGAATTGTTTCTTTTAAATCAACACAACTTAAGCGATAAACTACTTAGGAATTTTTCAGCCTAAGAGATTCCTTCTAGAAATCAATTTTCATTGGGAGTAACTCCTATGACTAAAAATTCTGTTCACTGTTTCCTGATCCTCACTAATCTGGCACAATTCATTTCGATGCTACAGATCAAAGCACAAAATAAAAATCAAGCATCTCCTCCAAGTTCTACAAATATCAAGTGTCTACTTGACATTGCAAATTTTTTTTTTCAACTCCCGGTCTCGCTACACAATTAGATCGTCTATAAACTACTCGAGGCATTTTGAAGCCATATTTGATTCAAGCTATATTCAATCACATGATACTCCTAAATATGATCAACTAATTGTAAAATATCCAAAAATAAATAAAAAGAGCAAGTGGAAAATTTCATAAGCAATCTATGTCAAATTACAAATCTGGTAATCAAGATTCATTTAAAATGCAAGGTTCTAATATATCAACTGAAACTCAGGACCAATTTCAGTTGCAAAGCACAAAACTGACAATCAAAATTCATTTAAAACGCAAAACTCTAATTACCAGCAGAAACTTTACCACCAATTTCAGTTACAAAGCACAAAATTGACAATCAAAATTCAATTAAAAACCTAAAATCAAATCAAAAAATCGGAAAACATAAAATCGCAAAATCTACTTGAACAACATGCTAAGTTCATGGAAAATTTGAACAAAATCAAAAAAAAAAAAAACGCAAAATCAAATCAAAAAATCGGAAAACATAAAATCGCAAAATAAAACAAAAAATCGCAAAATCTACTTGAACAACATGCTAAGTTCATGGAAATTTGAACAAAATAAAAAAAAAAACGCAAATCAAATCAAAAAATCGGAAAACATAAAATCGCAAAAATCAAAACAAAAAATCGCAAAATCTACTTGAACAACATGCTAAGTTCATGGAAATTTGAACAAAATAAAAAAAAAAAAAAAACGCAAAATCAAATCAAAAAAATCGGAAAACATAAAATCGCAAAAATCAAAACAAAAAATCGCAAAATCTACTTGAACAAACATGCTAAGTTCATGGAAATTTGAACAAAATAAAAAAAAAAAAAAAAACGCAAAATCAAATCAAAAAAATCGGAAAACATAAAATCGCAAAAATCAAAACAAAAAATCGCAAAATCTACTTGAACAACATGCTAAGTTCATGGAAATTTGAACAAAAATAAAAAAAAAAAACGCAAAATCAAATCAAAAAATTGGAAAACATAAAATCGCAAAAATCAAAACAAAAAAATCGCAAAATCTACTTGAACAACATGCTAAGTTCATGGAAATTTGAACAAAATCGAAAAAAAAAAACATACCTGAGTCGAAAATCCTTCAAATTGCAATTTCTATGGAGATTTTTGGGGGTTTGCAGAGAGAGAATGTGATGAGCACGAAGAGAGAGAAAGTTAGAGGAGAGAGAAAATTTTGATCGGGTGGTAGGGCCGTAGGGGGTATGAGGAAAAATACGTGTTTTAATCTTAACCGTCTAAATTACCTTAATCCTACGGCTGAGATTGGTTCTTATATAACTAGGGTTTCTTATATAGGAGGGGTTCTTACCGGATCCCTCCCTATATATATATTATATATATATATATATATATATAATATATATATATATATATATATAATATATATATATATATATATATATATATATATGTTTTGGGTCTCGATCCCTAAAC